CCTTTTTTTTTTTTTTAGAGACAGAGTCTCACTTTGTCACCCTTGGTAGAGTATTGTGGCATCACAGCTCACAGCAACCTCCAACTCCTGGACTTAGTCGATTCTCTTGCCTTAGCCTCCTGAGTAGCTGGGACTACAGGCGCCCGCCATAACACCCAGCTATTTTTTTGTTGCAGTTTGGCTGGGGCCAGGTTTGAACCCGCCACCCTTGGTACATGGGGCCGGCGCCCTACTCACTGAGCCACAGGCATGGCCTGGCAAGACTTCTTTTAGGTGCTATATCCATAGCAGACAAAAGAGAGCAGATGTGAGCTACCAGAGATGGGGCAGAGAGGATGGGAGCTACTAATTCATGGGGATGAGGTGTTTCTTTGGGGTTAGGATAACACTTTTAAATCAGAGTAGCAGCCGCACAGCACTGTGAATACACTAAACATCACTCAGTTATACACTTTAACATGGTTCATCATAGGTTCCATGAATTTGGCTGCAATTAAAAAAAAAAAGAAAAGATTCTGAGGCTGTGTCCTTGATTCAGCCACAGCACGGAAGTGGGCGGTGGCAGCCCATGAACCACACATTTGCTAGTCCTGATTTGGGAACACCACAGCTCTACCTGTTACAGACTCTGTAACCTCACGATCACCCCTTGAATCTGAGAGGGGTAATCACACTGTGCCTAACTGACAGATAGGAAAATTGAGGCTCAGAGAAGGTGACGCTGTTGTCAGCAGGTGAGGCTGACTTTGAACCCAGGTCTCTCGATTCCTAGCTCTGTGTTCTCTTCCACCCGGCCAAGCTGATCTTCAGCTTCAGGAGGTGGGCCCTGAAGAAGGGTGGTATTTACTTCCAGAAACCAAGGAATCAGACAGAGGAAGCAGCAGGAGGAGAGGCCTGCTGGCCAGCTTCAGTGTGACTGGATCAGGTGACATGAGTTGAGGCCCAAGTTTGGTGCTCAGAGGCATGGGGGCAGTGACAGGAAGTCAGGACTTCATAGCAATTATCAAAGGTACCTTCTTTGTACCCTCAATGATTCCCTAACAATTAAAAAACAAGGCTCGGTGCCCATAGCTCAACCGGCTAAGGCGCCAGCCACGTACACCTGAGGTGGCGGGTTCGAATCCCCAGCCTGGGCCCGCCAAACAACAATGATGGCTGCAACCAAAAAATAGCCAGGCATTGTGGTGGGCGCCTGTGGTCCCAGCTACTTGGGAGGCGGAGGCAGGAGACTTGCTAGAGCCCAGGAGTTGGAGGTTGCTGTGAGCTGTAATGC